TATGTGTGTGTGTGTGTGTGTGTTGCGGATCGTTGCAGGAGGCTGTGGGGATGGGGTGACCCGTGTGTGTGTGTGTGTGTGTGTGTGTGTGTGTGTTTCCCCTTAAGCTTAACCTCCTTAAGCAAAGTGAGCCCGAGGAGGCTGTGCGGGTGGGGTGACCCGTGTGTGTGTGTGTGTGTGTGTGTGTGTTTCTCCTTAAGCTTAACCTCCTGAAGCAAAGCGGAGCCCGAGGAACTCCCCGCCACAAGAACCAGCGCGGCAGGATCGCAGCCTGGGGCTCGGATCAGCCCCGGAGCAGCGACGCGGATCGTGACCCCAGGTGGGAAGGGGACCCCCCCCCAAAAAAAAACACGCGAGTTTTCCTCCCTCCCTCCCTCCTCCTCCTCCCCCCCCCCGGATCCACTCCCGCCAGCCCTCCTGCGCGGGGAGGGCCAAGCGAAGCAAATCGGAACTGGGGCCGCTGCCGGAGGTAAGGCGAGAAGGAGGAGCGAGGCTCGGACACCGCCCTGGCCGGCGGCAGCCGGTTCTGGCAGCGGAGCGGCGCCCGGGAGAAAAACAGCGCGAGGCAGGCGCGGAGGAGCAGAGCCAGTCCGGCGCCGCGGGGCCGCCCCAGCAGGAGAGATCCCCCCCCCGCCATACCCACCCAAAACCGGCGCAAGAAGCCTGGCCGAGCCGGATCGCGGGATTTGAACCCAGAACCAGCCGGGACAGCTTCCTTGGAAAAACCCGCGCGCCCTTCCAGCCTCCTCCGGAGATCCGCGGCGTAAAAAACCCCGCGCGGGGAAAGGGAAACCCCCCCCCCCCAAAAAAAAAACTTGAGCCAACTAACCCGGAGGTTCAACCGGGACGCCTTGCACGTGGGAACGGGTTGCGCTTCGCTCCCTCCCGTGTCGAGGTAAAGCTGAGCTCTCTCCACGCAACCAAACAGCCTCCACTTGCCGGAGCAGAGATTGATTTTTATTATTATTATTATTATTATTATTATTATAATTATTATTTTTAAAGCAATTTGGGCTTTGGAAGGGACACGGAACCCGGACTGGAACCCCCGGCTTGGATTCTGGAAGGGGGAAAAAAAACAACAACAACAGCCCACCGACCCAGTTTCGGATGCTGAAATTGCCAAACAGCCTACAAACTTTTTCCAAACTGGAGTAAGGGGGGGGAGTTGTCTGGGTCTGAGCTTTGAACGGAGAGCCCCACCCACAGGGTTGTTGATCTGGGACCCCCCCCCCAAAAAAAAAAATCCTAGGAAGATCCTCCTGCTGAATCCAGAATTCTTGGGGATCCCCCCCCCATTGAGACCCCCTCAGCTAGCTCACCTGGCTTAAGACAGGATGGAGGATGGAGCCCGTCGCCGAGGGGCTCCGGAGAAGACCCCCGAAAAAACGGAAGGAGGTGGCGGAGTGGCACTGAAGAAGGAAATTGGCTTGATGAGCGCCTGTGGCATTATTGTGGGTGAGTGAGGGTCTTGGAAGGGGGGTCTCCTGCCCACCCCCGCTTGCCGGCTCTGAATTTGGGGCACGTTATTTCCTGATCTTAGCCTTGCAGGTTCAAATAGGACCAATTTTTTTTCTCCTTTATGTTCAGCTTTCTTGGGTTTTTTGATTTGGCATCTGGGATCAAATATGATCAATTTTTCTGTATGTTCAGCTTTCTTGGGGTTTTTGATTTGGCATCTGGGATCAAATATGATCAATTTTTCTGTATGTTCAGCTTTCTTGGGGTTTTTGATTTGGCCACCTGGGATCAAATAGGACCATTTTTTTTCTTCTTTATCTTCGGCTTTCTTGGGGTTTTGGGATCAAATATGATCAATTTTTCTTCTTTATGCTCAGCTTTCTTAGGGTTTCGATTTGGCATTTGGGATCAGATATGATCAATTTTTCTTCTTTATGTTCAGCTTTCTTGGGTTTTTTGATTTGGCCACCTGGGATCAAATAGGACCATTTTTTTCTTCTTTATGTTCAGCTTTCTTGGGTTTTCGATTTGGCATTTGGGATCAGGTAGGATCAATTTTTCTTCTTTATGCTCAGGTCTCTTGGGTTTTTTGATTTGGAAAAGGCTGGTGAAAATCTCCAGTTTCTGCTTTTTTTATTCTTCTTCCCACTTTTGGCCCTTGCGATTCTCTCCCTTCTACTGTGTCGTTGTGGTTGTTATTATTATTATCTTTTATTCATTAAACATGAACCTCAGTCAACTGAACATTCAAATTGGCTGGCGCTGATGGTTGACAAGGGTTGCTACCAGCATCCTATTATTATTATTATTATTATTATTATTATTATTATTATTATTATTATTATTATTATTATTATGGATCATCGCACAGTCAGCCAGATGTTCAGACTGGATTTGGCATTTTTGTCTACCTCTCGAGTTCTTCCCAAGGACCTGGGATAGGCAGATGTGGATGTTTGATGGTATTACAGATTACAGGATAGAAGCAGTTCCTGGCAAGGCCGCCTTTTGCAATTGACTAATGGCAAATTTGTCAATGCCGATGGTGTCCAAGTGGTGCTCCAGTTGTTTTGGGATTGCTATTATTATTATTATTATTATTATTATTATTATTATTATTATTATTATTATTATTATTATTATTATTATTCTATTCTATTCCTTATTCTTATTCCATTCCATTCCATATTTTTTCTTTTCTTTTCTATTCTATTCTATTCTATTCACCAGCCAGTTATTAAGCACCTGGATTGTGATCACATGAGTGTGCAGGGTGTGCAATGGTTGTAACTTTTGTGTTGTTTTTTTAACCCACAATGTGGGGACTTTAAATCTCCAAGGTCTAAGAATTCTATTCTGTTCTGTTCCGTTCTGTTCAGTTTCATTCCATTCCATTCCATTCCATTCCATATTTTATTATTCTATTCTATTCTATTCTATTCTATTCTATTCTATTCTATTCTATTCTATTCTTCTCGGTCCCAGCATCAATCTGTCCAAAGGCAGTTTTTTCCTTCCAATGAGAGAGAGGAAGAGAGAGAGACAGAGAGAGAGACACACAGAGAGACAGACAGACCTGGATTCCTGGCCTACAACCCAACCATCTTTCCCTTGGTGCTTTAGTTAGAGTTCCACTTAACTGGGGCTTAGTGGGAGCCGTCTCCTAGAACAGGATTGGCATTTTCGTGGAGAGCCAGGGAGCCACTTGGCAAGGACCACAATCCCAACCCGGAAGAAGCCCCTCGCAACGACAAACAAGCAAACGACCAACAGCTGCAAGCTGGTAGGAAGGATCGCATATCCCAGCTTGACGAAATTTCTCCGAAAATGCAACCGCCCCTTGCCAAACGCCGCTCTGTTGTCCCTGCCGGATAGACCACAACATGGTGCAATCCCTCTCCAGCCACACAAAGAGGCGCGTTTGAACGCAACCAGGGCAGGAAAAAATATGCCGCAAGGGAGCTTAGGATAACAAGTATCGTCCGACGTAACGACAGTCCGTTCAGTGACCGTTCCGAGTTAACCACGGTGCTGAAACAAACAAAAAAAAGGGACAGAGGACCCGTTTTTCACACGGCCTCCCCAGGGTCACGTGATCAAAAACCCAGACGCTCGGCCACCAGTTCGCATTGACGACGGGGGCGGCGTCCCCCGGGGTCCCGCGCTCTGTTTTTGCGACCGGCACAGTCAAGGGGGAAGGCGGATTCGCGTAACCGCCCTGTGACGGACTTAACAAGGGCAGTGACTCGCTTAAGAACCGTGGCCGGGAAAGTCGCAAAACGGGGCAAAATCTAAATTTGGGGCTTGGTTAAGTGGAGGACCCCACCCGTACGAAGTTCAGGGATCTGAAGGGGAAGCAGGCCCAGCCGAGGCCCGGGATATCAGATCCCCTTCCCGCCCATCTGCCCACCCCTCTCCGGAGTTTGCTTTCCACCCCGATGCAGCCGGAACGCCGGCCTTTTGTGTGTGTGTGTTTGTTCCAACTTTGTCTCTTTCCAGATGGCGCCGTTTCAGCAGGTGCCAGGAGACCATTAAACAAACACCGCCAGGCAGAAGCGACGGTGGGAAGCATGGAGAGTGATCATTGAAGCACCCTTGCTTCCCTGATCCACTCCAGCTTCGCCAAGGCTTCCCTTGGCCTTCCCCCCCCCAAAGAAAATTTAAATGCCCTCCGCTTCCCATGGGCCCTTTCCCCCCCAGCGTCCGAAAGATGACAATGGCTCCCGTCCAGATGTTCTCCTGGCTGATGTTCAGAGCAAGACGGTCCTTTGAATGTCTTGAAAGTTGGATCGACCAGAAATTGGGCAGATCCCAAAAGTGATCTCAGGTTCCCTTGTTCTAAATCTCCCCCTCCTAGAGACTGGACAGGCATTGAACGGAATAGCAGAGTCGGGAGGGATCCTGGAGGTCGTCTAGTCCAGCCCCCTGCTCAAGCAGGAGATTCTAGACCAGGGGTCTTCATACTGGGCCCTTCAACTCCCAGAATTCCTCAAGCCAGCGTGCCTGGCTGAAGAATTCTGGGAGTTGAAGTCCACAAGCAGGGATCTTCAGACTTGGGCCTTTGATGACTTGTGGACTTCAACTCCCAGAATTCCTCAGCCAGCGTGCCTGGCTGAGGAATTCTGGGAGTTGAAGTCCACAAGTCATCAAAGGCCCAAGTCTGAAGACTCCTCCCCTATACCATTTCAGACAAATGGCTGTCCAATCTCTTCTTAAAAACCTCCAGTGTTGGGGCATTCACAACTTCTGGAGGCAGGTTGTTCCACTGGTTAATTGTTCTAACTGTCAGAAAATTCCTCCTTAGTTCCAGGTTGCTTCTCTCCCGGATTAGTTTCCATCCGTTGCTTCTTGTCCTGCCTTCGGGTGCATTGGAGAATAGGTGGAACCCCCCCCCCACTTCTTTGTGGCAGCCCCTCAAATATTGGAACTCTGCTATCATGTCACCCTTGTTTGTCTGGAATGGGTTAGGATCTGCTGCCCTGAGCAAGGGGTCAGACTAGATGACCTCCAAGGTCCCAACTCTATTATTTTATGTTCTATTCTTGGCCAGCAGACCCAGCAGAAAAAGGACATGAGGTAGAGTAGTGCGGGAAGACGGAAAGAGAGAGAGGGGTGGGAGGAGAGGAAAGAGAGAGAGAGAGGGAAAGAGGGACAGAGAGAGAGGAAAGAGAGAGGGAGAGGAAAGAGAGAGAGGAAAGAGAGAGAGGAAAGAGAGAGAGGAAAGAGAGAGGAAAGAGAGGGAGAGGAAAGAGAGAGAGAGGAAAGAGAGAGAAAGAGGGTGAGAGAGAAAGAGAGAGGAAAGAGATAGGAGAGAGAGAAAGAGAGAGAGAGAGGGAGAGAGGGAGAGGAAAGAGAGAAAGAGAGGGAAAGAGTGACAAAGAGAGAGGGAGAGGAAAGAGAGAGGGAGAGGAAAAAGAGAGAAAGAGAGAGAGGAAAGAGAGAGAAAGAGAGAGGGTGAGAGAGAGGGTGAGAGAGAGAGAGAGGGTGAGAGAGAGAAAGAGAGAAAGAGGGAGTAGAAAGAGAGAAAAGAGAGAGAGAGAGAGAGAGAGAGAGAGAGAGAGAGAGCAGAGCTCAAAATTCCCCCTTGCCACTGAAAATGTTTTATATTGCTTCAAGTGTGGCACGCGTCAAGGGCACTTTTATTTTTCCCAGAAGCCCTTGATCAAAAAGCAAAGATAACTGGCAGCTTTCCGTAAACATTTTCTGCTTAGTCTTCAGATCTCACGGGAACTCTAGAGAGTTGTGCAGAAAATCCTGGCTCTCAATATTCTTCCTTTCACAGCCCTGAGTTGCCCAGAAAGATCGGTGTATTGATTTTGTAAACTAGCGCTAAAACTATATATATTTATAAAACTTTGGGCCTTGTAATATATATATATATATATATATATTACATATATTATAATATATATTACATATATTATAATATATTATATATATTTATATATATATATATATATATATATATATATATATATATATATATATATATATATATATATATATATATATATATATATATATATATATATATATATATATATATATTCTGTATATCAAAGCAGGCATACCCTGCTTGAAAACCAAATGAAATCACCTCTGTTGCTTAACCTGCACCCTTAATCTTTCCAGATGCAAGGTTTGATACGATGCCAAGGGCTTGGTACATATTTGCATTGGGGAATCGCGTGGGGAAAAAACAGGCAATTGTTCCTTATTCTTATTTGCTTACTTCTTCCTTTTTTTCGGGTAAAAAAAAAAAATGACCTGATTTGATTTCAAATGCAGCGTGGAAGTCTGGAGCTCAACAGATTGAGATCTTTGAACAGCCTCAGGGAGGGGAAAGAAAAAAAAAACCTGCTCTGTTTAAAAAGAGAGCGGATTTTAATTCGGTCACTTTGCTGAGCCTGGCTCTTAAAAAAATAATAATAATAATTCCCCATTTTTCCATGCGAGAGAAACTTCGTCGTGTTTACTTAGCAATAAATCCTACTGTTTTCAAGGCTGTTCCTTAGTAGACTTTAAAAAGCGTGACAAATGTACAACAGCACCCTTTGCACCTAAGTCAACGTACTCACCGCAAAGTTGTTCTATATAGTGTAAGCAGCCTCTCATTTCTACTCTTTACAATATAACCCATAATTTGTACAATTGTGCGTAGGTTTGCGGACGATTATCATCTCTGGGACACATTCGGGCAAGGCATAAAAAAATTTACCAAGTGTGTTTTAAGATTACATAACCACCTTGGCAGTATCCCTCTTAAGAAGTGTCGTAATGCAAGCACGAATATTTCTGGATTTTAACACAAGCCAGGCACACAATTTTAATCAGGGCAAAAGCTTATATGACGTTAAATGTCATCTCTAATGAAAATTGTGTCTATACTTACAGGGAATAACTTCACTATCTTCAGAATGAAAGGGTTACAGGTATCCCACCAATAATCTAAAGCTGTGTTTTCTCAACTTTGGCAACTTTAAGACGGATGGACGTCGACTCCCAGAATTCCTCAGCCAGCCTTGCTGGCTGGGGAATTCTGGGAGTTGACGTCCACACCTCTTAAACTAAATAAGGCTGAGAAACGTAATCTAGACCAACCCCTCTCCAGAACAGGAATAACAGAATAATAGAGTTGGAAGGGACCTTAAATGGCTGTCCAGTCTCTTCTTAAAAACCTCCAGTTGTTGCAGCACCCACAACTTCTGAAGGCAAGGAACTCATTGTTGTTGTTAGTTGCGAAGTCGTGTCCGACCCATCGCGACCCCATGGACAACGTTCCTCCAGGCCTTCCTGTCCTCTGCCATCTTCGGGAGTCCATTGAAGCTCATGACTTTTGCAAAATCTTAGCCTTTGAGCAGCTGCACCAAAGTTTGTGGTTTGTTGTCACTGTCCTCCATTGTGATGTGCTGTTGTCCCCCTGCAGGTAACATCATTGGATCCGGAATTTTTGTATCACCCAAGGGCGTGTTGGAGAACGCAGGCTCGGTAGGGCTGGCGTTAATCGTCTGGATCGTCACGGGCCTCATCACCGCCGTGGGTGCCCTCTGCTACGCGGAACTGGGGGTCACCATCCCCAAATCCGGAGGTGACTATTCCTACGTCAAGGACATCTTCGGAGGACTGGCTGGGTAAGAGGGAATAAGGAACCGGGTTTGTCAGATAGCGGTTGAGGGTTAGAGAACCGAGTTGGACGAGAAGGAAGAAGGGCAGCTTAGCAGGGTAGGCATATTGCAATGGTGGGCATCCAGAAATGTTAAGCGTGAAGTGCTAATACCACTTTATAATGCCTTGGTAAGGCCACACTTGGAATCCTGCATCCAGTGTTGGCCACCGCGATATAAAAAAGATGTTGAGACTCTAGAAAGAGGGCAGAGAAGAGCAACAAAGATGATCAGGGGACTGGAGGATAAAATATGCGAAGAACGGTTGCAGGAATTGGGGATGTCTAGTTTAACGAAGAGAAGGACGAGGGGGGACAGTATAGCAGTGTTCCAATATCTCAGGGGCTGCCCCAAAGAAGAGGGAGTCAAGCTATTCTCCAAAGTGCCTGAAGGCAGGACAAGAAGCAACGGGTGGAAACTAATCAAGGGGAGAAGCAACCTAGAAATAAGGAGAAATTTCCTGACAGTGAGAACAATTAATCAGTGGAACAACTTGCCTCTAGAAGTTGTGGATGCTCCAACTGGAAGTTTTTAAGAAGAGATTGGACAGCCATTTGTCTGAAATGGCATAGGGTTTCCTGCCTGAGCAGGGGGTTGGACTAGAAAACCTCCAAGGTCCCTTCCAACTCTGTTATTCTATTCTATTCTATTCTATTCTATTCTATTCTATTCTATTCTATTCTATTCTATTCTATTCTATTCTATTCTATTCTATTCTATTCCTAACCCTAATCCTAATCCTAATCCTAACCCATCCCATCCCATCCCATCCCATCCCTCTATTCTATTCTATTCTATTCTATTCTATTCTATTCTATTCTATTCTATTCTATTCTATTCTATTCTATTCTATTCTATTCTTCGGGGTTTTTATTTCCCCATTTACCCGGTGACAGTTAGAAAGAAGATCAAGAAACAGTCACTTCAGTATACTGGGAGATATATTGGTTCGGAAATTAACTCGTTCAATTGTCAGAATTCTTGCTGTTTTTCTCAATAGATCTTGCTTGGCAAAGAGACACGGGGGGGTGGGTGTTAGGTAAGGATCACGAAACCTTGATGTGCCTCTAAAACCTCCGTTTCCCCCAAGGTTCCTCAGACTGTGGATTGCGGTGCTGGTGATCTACCCCACGAACCAGGCGGTGATCGCTCTGACTTTTGCCAACTATGTCCTTCAGCCCATCTTTCCCACCTGCCTGCCTCCGGAAACCGGCTTGCGACTCCTCGCAGGGGTGTGCCTTTGTAAGTAGCGAGCGATCGTGTGATGCCGATCACACATTGTGTGTCTTTTAAATGTTGCAAGGCTGCTTTGAGAGATGCACCTGTTTGAAAGGGAGAGAACGAGACCGTGGCTTGGAGCAAAGCAAAAGTAGAATTCCACGAAGAATGCTTGTCTGTGGCCTAGCTGGTTGTGGGAACCAAGCCATTGTAGCTTGTATGTTGCTCAGCCAAGGATAATTCATCGAACAAAGCTTAAACAAACCTTGGTTCAACAAGGCACCAATAAGCACCATCTATGAACCAGGTGAAGCTTTGTGGTCCAGATCTGAGTCGTGAGTCCCCCTAAAGGGGTGAACCCCCAACCAGATCTGGGTTGCAAAGCCTGGAGTGACCACCAGGTGGCAGCCAAGAGTTAGGATTTTCTGTTGTCCCCCTATTGGTCGTTCAGGAGTTTTGCAGCCTCTACATGCCTAAATTAATGTATTGTGTGGCGGTTCAGACACCAGACTGCGATGCTGTTTTCAGCTAATTGGGCTTTTTCAAAAATCCCTGGCTTAAAATTCCATGGGAAACGGACTGTAAAGAGGATTTAATCCCCTCGTCTCGCACTCAGTCTGGTGAATAATCGCTCTCCCCCTCCTCCTCCAGGGTTGACAGGATCAGAGGCGGTGAATTTAGTTCTAGGGTGTGCAGTCTTTAAATACATACCATTTTCCGTGTTCTCTCTAGGGTGAATAAACCTACAGTTAACTTGCAATATGCCTCAATAGTTATACTTAAGATTATTGGAACTATAGTTTAAGGCAGGGGGTCTTCCAACTCGGCCCTTTGATGACTTGTGGACTTCAACTCCCAGAATTCCTCAGCCAGAGTGCCTGGCTGAGGAATTCTGGGAGTTGAAGTCCACAAGCAGGAGTCTTCAAACTTGGCCCTTTGATGACTCGTGAACTTCAACTCCCAGAATTCCTCAGCCAGCATACCTGGCTGAGGAATTCTGGGAGCTGAAGTCCACAAGCAGGGGTCTTCAAACTTGGCCCTTTGATGACTTGTGGACTTCCACTCTCAGAATTTCTCAGCCAGTGTGGCTGGCTGAGGAATTCTGGGAGTTGAAGTCCACAAGCAGGGGTCTTCAAACCTGGCCCTTGATGACTTGTGGACTTCAACTCCCAGAATTCTTCAGTCAGGCACGCTGGCTAAGGAATTCTGGGAGTTGAAGTCCACAAGTCATCAAAGGGCCAAGTTGGAAGACCCCTGGTTTAAGGAATGATTTAAAGCCAATTCTCTCAGCAGCATTAATACCCTTTAAGACCCTGGTCTGCAGCTTAAAGGGATTGCAAAGAAGGGCTTGGGTGCTTTACGAATATAGATAGTCTTCAAATTACAACAGTTCTTTTAATGACCACTCAAAGTGACAGCAGCCCTGAAAAATGTGACTTATGACCGTTTTTCACACTTAAGACTTTGGCAGCGTCCCCAGGGTCACACGGACAAAATTCGGATGCTCGGCAACTGATTCCTATTTATGACGGTCTCGCCGTGTCCTGGGGTCACGTGATCCCCTTTACCCCCCCCCCTTTTTGTCTTGCCCTAACGAATAAAATCAAATCTCTGCATTTGTGCTTGTTCCTTTGTAAAGACTTCAGCTCTAATGAACTCCCATCAAAGCCGCCGGGCAGTTCAAACAGGTCTGCCAGGCGACAATCAACACTAACCACAACTGTGCTCAGCTATTTTGTCTTTGAAGAGCAAATTTGCTTACACAAACCTTGTGGGAAAGTCACTTTGTCTTTGTGAGCGGGGGAGGGGGGCTGTAGGGCTTGTGAAAATGGCTAATTTGCATTTTTTTTTTTTTAGTTGGCTCTTCCAACCTTGAGTTCAGTGACATTTCCACCCCACCCACCCCCGCCCCAGGGTCTACCTTGTAGGGCTGTCGTGCGATTCAAAGGGCTAACCGACATCCGTCTCAAAGAGATGGGGAAAAAAAAACCAGGATAATATGCCTGCGGCTGGCTTGGTTTCCAAGAGAGAAAAGATAGAGGTGGATGGTTTTTCAGCTGTGCTGGTAGCTAATGCAGAAAGGTGGTCCTCAAGATACGACCGTTTGTGTAACGACTGTTTGAAGTTACGGTGGCCCTGGGAAAAAAGCGATGTATTGGTGCATGTATGACCAATTCTTGCACTTATGTCCATTGTGGTGTCCTTAAGCTCATGATCATGAGATGAGTAGAGTAGAGTAGAGTAGAGTAGGGTAAAACAGAACAGAATAGAAAATATGGAGTGGAATGGAATGGAATGGAATGGAATAGAATAGAATAGAATAGAATAGAATAGAATAGAATAGAATAGAATAGAAAATATGGAATGGAGTGGAGTGGAGTGGAATAGAATAGAATAGAATAGAATAGAATAGAATAGAATAGAATAGAATAGAATAGAAAATATGGAGTGGAGTGGAATGGAATAGAATAGAATAGAATAGAAAATATGGAGTGGAGTGGAGTGGAATAGAATAGAATAGAATAGAATAGAAAAGAAAAGAAAATATGGAGTGGAGTAGAGTGGAGTGGAGTGGAGTGGAATAGAATAGAATAGAATAGAATAGAATAGAAAATATGGAATGGAGTGGTGTGGAGTGGACCAGAATAGAACAGAACTTTACTCTACTCTACTCTACTCTACTCTACTCCTTATTTCTATTCTATTCTACTCTACTCTACTCTACTCTACTCCTTATTTCTATTCTATTCTATTCTATTCTATTCTATTCTATTCTATTCTATTCTATTCTATTCTATTCTATTCTATTCCTTTCTGTTCTCTGTTCTGCTCTGTTCTATTTTATTCTATTCTATATTTTATTCTATATTCCATTCTATTTCTTATTCTATTCTATTCTATTCTATTCTATTCTATTCTATTCTATTCTATTCTATTCGACTCGACTCGACTCGACTCGACTCGACTCTATCCCTATCCCTATCCCTATCCCTATCCCTATCCCTATCCTACTCTTATTCCTATTCCTATTCCAGTTCCATCCCATCCCATCCCATCATTCTATCCTATTTCTATCCTTCCCTATCCTAGCCTATTTAAAAAAAACCCTCTTTTGCAGTCATTGGGGAGGGGGAAATTCTCAGCCCCTGAACCGAAAAAGTATTTAGAAGCGGAGAGATTAAAATATCCTGCCTGAGGCTACTTTAGGACATTGTAGGCTGGGAAGATCGGGCACAAACTGGTTCGGCTCATTATTATTATTTTTTTATTATCCAGCTCCGCAGCAGGGAAAGCGGGAGGAGGCGGGGCGGCCGGATAAGAGAGGGACGCTGAGATTGGCTTTGGCTGGGATGGAATCAGCAAAACTTTATTAATCAGGTCAAAGCCAGTTACTCAGTGCTGAGTCAGCGAACGGGTGGGGGGAAGTCAGAGATGAGAGATATGCATATGAAAACAAGGAGGAGGAGGAGGAGGAGGAGGAGGAGGAGGAGGAGGAGGAGGAGGAGGAGGAGGAGGAGNTGAAGACTCCTCCCCTATACCATTTCAGACAAATGGCTGTCCAATCTCTTCTTAAAAACCTCCAGTGTTGGGGCATTCACAACTTCTGGAGGCAGGTTGTTCCACTGGTTAATTGTTCTAACTGTCAGAAAATTCCTCCTTAGTTCCAGGTTGCTTCTCTCCCGGATTAGTTTCCATCCGTTGCTTCTTGTCCTGCCTTTGGGTGCATTGGAGAATAGGTGGAAACCCCCCCCCCCCACTTCTTTGTGGCAGCCCCTCAAATATTGGAACTCTGCTATCATGTCACCCTTGTTTGTCTGGAATGGGTTAGGATCTGCTGCCCTGAGCAAGGGGTCAGACTAGATGACCTCCAAGGTCCCAACTCTATTATTTTATGTTCTATTCTTGGCCAGCAGACCCAGCAGAAAAAGGACATGAGGTAGAGTAGTGTGGGAAGACGGAAAGAGAGAGAGGGGGGGGGAGGAGAGGAAAGAGAGAGAGAGAGGGAAAGAGGGACAGAGAGAGAGGAAAGAGAGAGGGAGAGGAAAGAGAGAGAGGAAAGAGAGAGGAAAGAGAGAGGGAGAGGAAAGAGAAAGAGAGAGGAAAGAGAGAGAGAAAGAGGGGGAGAGAGAAAGAGAGAGAGGAAAGAGATAGGAGAGAGAGAGAGAGAGAGGGAAAGAGGGAGAGGAAAGAGAGAGAAAGAGAGGGAAAGAGTGACAAAGAGAGAGGGAGAGGAAAGAGAGAGGGAGAGGAAAAAGAGAGAAAGAGAGAGAAAGAGAGGGTGAGAGAGAGGGTGAGAGAGAAAGAGAGAGGGTGAGAGAGAGAAAGAGAGGGAGTAGAAAGAGAGAAGAGAGAGAGAGCGAGAGAGAGCGAGAGAGAGCAGAGCTCAAAATTCCCCCTTGCCACTGAAAATGTTTTATATTGCTTCAAGTGTGGCATGCGTCAAGGGCACTTTTATTTTTCCCAGAAGCCCTTGATCAAAAAGCAAAGATAACTGGCAGCTTTCCGTAAACATTTTCTGCTTAGTCTTCAGATCTCACGGGAACTCTAGAGAGTTGTGCAGAAAATCCTGGCTCTCAATATTCTTCCTTTCACAGCCCTGAGTTGCCCAGAAAGATCGGTGTATTGATTTTGTAAACTAGCGCTAAAACTATATATATTTATAAAACTTTGGGCCTTGTAATATATATATATTACATATATTATAATATATTATATATATTAATATATATATATATATATATTCTGTATATCAAAGCAGGCATACCCTGCTTGAAAACCAAATGAAATCACCTCTGTTGCTTAACCTGCACCCTTAATCTATCCAGATGCAAGGTTTGATAAGATGCCAAGGGCTTGGTACATATTTGCATTGGGGAATCGCGTGGGGAAAAAACAGGCAATTGTTCCTTATTCTTATTTGCTTACTTCTTCCTTTTTTTCGGGTAAAAAAAAAAAATGACCTGATTTGATTTCAAATGCAGCGTGGAAGTCTGGAGCTCAACAGATTGAGATCTTTGAACAGC